TTTCATTGCAAAAATGCATCATGACTTTTCCGACAACCCAAAATGAGTGCATTTCTCTTGGGTATTGTAGAAACACTGTTGATCTAAGAAGAGAGATAGGCGAGGTTGAAGAGGAGGGCAGTATAGGAATCATGGAGTGGAGGATGCTGTTAGAACTTAGATTTCTCCCCAGATATAATGAGCATTTGGAGAAAAGGTTCAAAACAGGAGAGTGACATGTTCCCATTGGTGTTCTGGGTGGTCCACTCTGCAAATATCGTGGAGGATGGATTTGCCAAGGGAGAAGAACTAGGTGCAAGTAGGCTAATTAGGAGGCGCTTGTAATACTTTAGATGAGAGCTAATGAGGACTTCAACTCTCCATAGAGATGTAAAAAAAAAAAATATATATATATATATATATATATGTGTGTGTGTATATATATATACACATATATATATATATATGAACATGTTTTGAATTATTCAACAAATAGTTTTGATATTTTTTTTTCAAAATAAGTCATTCCTCAATACAAGTCACTGTGAAGGAAAAACATCTCTATAGATTTATTACGTGCACTAAAATGTGACATATTTCTTTGAATTCGTATTCAAAAACCTCATCTGGGATAATATTTGAAAATAAGACTGACTAGATATCTTTACATTACTGAAATTATAGCAAACAAGAACAATTTTTAGTTGGCTAGCTCTTCTGCTGCTGTCCCTTCCTCTGTTAGCTTCCATTAGAGCGCAAGGAGGATGCCAGCTTTGCTACTCATTTAGCAAAATGCTGGTGCTTGTTCTTGACCCTGATTGAACTATTCTTGCTGAGAAAGATGAATAGTTCCTTGCTGGCTAGAAAACAAGTGAAATTAAAAGCAAAAAACAATTTCCACTGAAATATGTATTGTCTCTTAAAAGCTGCTCAGCCTCTTTGATATGTTAAATTTATCTTACCTGCCACCACCATCTAATTTCAAGCCCTGAAACCTGGGCAGGGATCATGCCATCTTAACAATCACTCTTGGGACCAGTCGCTGATAAAATGTCCAAAACAGTTTGTTACATTTGATTCAGCAGCTGAGCTATTTTGGAAACTCCGTCTTAGACCCACAGGAAGATAGATTTAGGCACAAAATAAAACTTTCCAAAATCTTCAAGTATTGGGATTCTGATTTTACTTATACTAGGGAGCCAAATTTCAATGGTTTTGATTCTTTTGAAAATATGATGAGTGAAAGGTGGATTTTGTATGTTGGAAGTAAAATCCATGTTTCTTGTGTTTGTTTGTTTGTTTGTTTGTTTGTTTGTTTGTTTATATGTGGAAACCCACCCTGCATCTGAGTTGTGGAGCACTTATTGTAACTTGGCAGAAGACAACTCAACTAGAGAAAAGAAAACATACTATCCCTTGGCTTCTGAGTCATCCAGATTACCAAATGAGGATCATTCCTGGCGTGATGGATNTACCTGAGAGAGATGAATCACTTTTTCTGGAGTGCAAATTTGTTTACGTTCTGTTTATTAATTACAGAGAAAATATTCTCCCTCTTCAATGTCTCATTTGATATTCCTTCTTATACTTGCAAGCAATATGACATGTAGATAGAAACTTTTCTTCCGTTGGAGCTGTGGCTGCATATAAACTAGATTCAATGACCTGAGAAAGTGAGAGATGCTGAAACTTAGAGGTGAACTGAGAAAAACTGTTCATGCCTTTAGTCCTTTATTGGGGTAGCCTATCTTAAATTTATGAAGGAAAATTACCATCAACAACAACTGGGCATATCATAAAAAACAACTATTAAAATGCATCCATAAGCTGCCAGAAAGGTACACAGGACAAAGAATAAATGAAAAAAGGAACCAATAAAGAAAAAATAAATCACTGAAGTTGAAGTTACATTGTTATTTGTCAACATACACAAAAATTAACTCAGAATGGATCAAAGACTTACATATAGTACCTGATACAATAAACTACATAGAAGAAAACATAGGTACTAAACTTATGTCACTCCAATAGATTTCTTTTTTTTTTCAAAAAAGAAATAACTAAGTAGAAAAATGTTTGGAAGTTCAGAAATAAATGCATGAATAACTCATTGATCAAGAAGAAATAAAAACAGAATAACAACAAGAATATGTAGGACTTAATGATTACTAAAAGATACCTATTAAAATCTATGGGATGCAGCTAAATGATATTTGCATGTGTAGTCTGCCGTGCATTTTAAAAAAGGAAAAAAAAAATCCTAAAACCTGGGAAGTTATGAAATAAGTAAAATGATAATATGAAAGAAAGTTGAGGGAAGGATATTTAAAAGAAAAGAAATTGTTCAAATAGAAAACAAACATCTAATAGGGAAGGTAACTTCCCTGCTGGCCAATAATTTTTGTCAGAGACCAGCACCCGTTCTTAGATCAGCATTTAGGAATCACTAGAGTCAATGTTTTTATATGGTTTTCCAAGCCTTTTAAGTTATAAAGATAAGACGTGTCCCATGTCACCAAATCCAGGTTAAGCGTTAGAAAATGTCTGTGTTTCAATATTCTGTGCTTTCTCTTAGGTTGGAAGCCTATATAGATGTTTTAGAAAAGAAATATTCATAATAACACATTTAATTTTCAGGTAGTTAATATTATATATATATATATATATATATATATATATATATATATATATACCTTAACTGTTTTAACTTTCAAAACAAAACAGAGAGAGCAAAAAAAAATATTTTCCACTAAAGTTTGTAGCCAGCTATTTTGTAATCAATGAAATGTTTCAAGTGGAAAAAGAGGAAGGAAATGGGACAATACAGGTGGTACTCAAGTTCAGAAGAAACTGGCAACCTCCAAGTTGTACTCAGAGCTTTAAGGAAGAAGGGCTGACATCATGGATGCTTTTCCAAGATTTAATCACTTTTTAACTTTTCATTTAAAAATAAGTTTAGCCTTACAGAGGAATTACAGAAACAGTACAGAGTGTTCCCATATGCCCCATCACACAGCTTCTCCTGATGTTAAGAATGTATATAACCATGGTATAATTATCAAAACTAAGAAATCAACATGTGTACAATTCTACTGTCTGAATTACAGACACTGTGTCCTTTTTCTGTTCACGATTTGTTATTAAAAAAAATAAATGTGTTAAAATGTTCACAGAGATACTTTGTGATTTGACTATCAGAGGAGTTTCATTCCTTCAGTCAAATATATAATTATGTGCCTACCATATGCTGGAAGTATTTCTCCAGCTTTAAGTTTCTATCATTTCTGTAGTTTAATTTTTTACTATTTTGATTTATTTTACAGTTTCTTTTCCACCTAGAGCACACCGTTGCCCCACAGACTAACGTCTCCTTTTCCTTAATCAAGGTGTCCGCATCTATTGTACAGGACACTAGAATGGACTGTCCATTGTCCTGACCATCCAGGTTTCTATGGAAGCATTACAAATCACCCTAGTCTATGAAAATGCTGTTTTTTTTCCTTTGTATGTATCCTTTTGTGGAGCAAGAAAATGGCCAGTGCAGTAGAGATGCATGAACTAATACTTGCTTTAAAATTAACAATCCACTATTATAGCACTAGATTCTATGGAGAGTTGCTTAATTTCCTATAAATTCTCAGTTGGTTTATGTGCCCACATTGTACTCCTTTACAGTAGCATTAGGCTAATCATGTTGTTTTTCTTCAAGCATATAAAGATTTTATGACTAAATGCAAAACAGGCTCCCAGGGCTAAATGTCTTTCTTGACTGATAAAAGCATTTTTTTTGTCTCTATAGAGAACTAGAAAATATCTTGTAAGCCACGAGATAACATGTTTTAAAGCACGTGGATAATACAGCTATCATAATACTTTAGGGAGGTACTTCTGAGGACAGGTGGAAGCAGGAAGATGAGAATGGGGAGAGATTAGAGGTAGAGGATTCAGTTAGGATGCTGGTGACAGGAAATGAAGAGCACCTGCACTCAATCAGCGGCAGTGGATTTCGACAGGGATATTGGTATTTCTCTAAAGGGAATCAACAGAATTTGATGTCTGTTTATAAGGGTGTGGAGCAGTGATAGACAAGTCAGGCAGAAAATAATAAAGCTGAGATTTCAATTGTGGGAGACTGGATAGCTGTTTATATCATTCAGAGATACAAAAAAATACAGAGTGTTTTTTGGAGAAGAGATGGAAATTAATCTCTGCTTTGTACTGACTAGATGTAGGTGCTCGACAAAAATCAGAGTGGAGATGTCCAAGAAGCAGTTTAGTCATATATCACCATGATCACTGGACAAAATATCATGGATGACCCCCTGGGAAAAAACCTTTAAAATTTGCTGGGCAGTTTCCTAGATACAACATTACACACTTGCAGTGGCAGTTGGCAATGGCTGAAGATCTAAAACCTCTTTGTTGGTCGAGATAATGTGTATTTTGGTAATGTCACTGACCATTATACTGGATGAGGTATGCCAGGTTCATCTCGGTAGATCACTTTCCCAATGACAGTGAAATATTTGATACATGTGTTTCATTCTCACAACCCCTTTCTCCTTGACATTCTTTTTTTTTTTTTAAAGATTTTTATTGGGGAATTGGGGGATGGGAACAGCGCTGGGGAATTGGGGTAAGGGGAACAGATAAGTTGCTGTTCTTTTTTTTCTTCAATCTAGTTGTGGAGGATGTTGCTTCACTGGCCCAAGTTGGCACCATCATTGCGCTCTTCCCGGGCAAGGCAGATCAGTTGCCAACTTCTAGATGGCCACTCACTGTGGCTGCTGGCTGCTCACGCTGGCTGCTGGCTATACACGGTAGCCCATGGCAACCCACTGCCACAGGGGCTGCAGTCTACGCCGTCACTGGCGATTCATGGCAACCCAGCTCCAGGTTGAGTTGTTGTTCAGCATCTTAGCTGTAGAGGGCAGTGTCACTGGCCCTCATATGTGGGATCCGAACCGGGGCCCTCTGGCGTCCCAAACCAGCTCTTAACCAACGCACCACTCAGCCGGCCCCTTGACATTTTTTTGAAAAGCTTCTTGCTCTATAACCCAACAGAGAAATACATCAAATTTGTTCTGAAATGCATCAAAAGATATGAGGTTAAGGGAGTAGAGACTGAATTGAAATAAATTAATTTTTACAGAATTGTATAATATTTACTTTCAGCACTGCTTTAAGATTTTGTCTGGTATTTGAAAAAATATATGCTTACACATCCATTCAGCAAATATTTGTTCAGTCCTTCCTATGTCACCAATTTTGTTTTTTACTCTGCCTTGAGAGGGAAGACATGAACAATAAAGAAATGGGAGGTAAATCAAGAATTTTGATTGTTTGTTGCTAGTGTGTGCTGTGATAGTTTTGGGGTAAAGTTTTGGGGATAGTTTTTGAGTTCCAGTGAAGAAATACCGAAAATTTGAGTCACTGGCCTGACACCGAGGAGACTATATCTACTAGAACTAGATAATCTGGGTCTATAAGTAAACACATACATACAAATATAGTCCTATTTAAAGACCATTTAAATGACCTGTCTTCAAGTTGTCCACAAGGTACTGGAGGAGACATATATGCAAATAACAATGGCAGGGTGTGGCAAGTACTGAGACAGAAGTGCCTCAGAGAAAGCAGGAGAGGCCTGTGAACCCACGTCCTAAGGACAAGTTACAAGAGCTGGTTATGCTTGAACTATGTTGTGATGAATGAGTTGATTTAGCCAAAGGATAGGAAGACGGTTTGGGAAGCTAGGACAGAGGAATTACACAATATTTTAGTTGATCAGTGGTGAGAGACAGCCAAGAAATGAGTATAATAAATTCCTAAGCCATAGAAACTGCACCACAAGACCCAGGAATACGGTCGTTACCAGCAGTCTCTTGATGAATGAAGTGGCCTTAGCTAGTTGCTTAAATATCAATAAACATATCACAGTTCCTAAATGTGGCTGTGCATCCAAAGTTCAATATTTAATGATTATTTTAATAAGTAATGTTGATGTGTAGCTAGGTTTGGAAAGTGCAGGTCTAAATATGAGATTCCGCTTCTCTTTTCATAGGTCATTTGTACCACAATGACTTTGATATAACCAATCTAAAATCCAGCCAGGAATGGATAAAGTGGCATGATATTTAAAAAAAAAATCTTCTCTAAAAGGGACACTACCAATTACCTAAGACAACTGGATTCTCTCTCACTGTAACATAAGATGAAACAACATTAATTTATTCAGTAGGATGTATAACAGTAGGGAAAAAAAACTCACAGAGACAAATACCACAAATGTAGGCTATGAGACCATGCAAGACTAAAAGCAAATCATCAGATACTATAACATAAAACAAAAGTCAGAGGGGAACGTGAATCAATAATGACCCAAGGATAATTTTGCCACTAAGGGTTATGGAATCCCTAGCGCTGCCTTCAATTTGGAGCCAACTTCTGATTCTTCAACCATTTCCCCACCTCCAGGGGCCCAACTCTAGGGCTCAACTTGGGATCCAGCAATTATTCCTGTCTTGTTTCTCTATGAGTTATCAAAATAAGCCCATCAGACCTTCGGTGTCCTAAGTGACTCTGTTTCTTGCTTCTGAAAAGCAATTAATTAAGGCAGAAACCAACAGCAATTAGAAATATTTAAAATTAGTAATATTTATAACCCAAGAAGCCTAACATTTTAAAGGGCCTATTTGTAGATATGGCTTATGAATTTATAATTGTATCATTAAGTGACATAAATGACCTGTTTTCTGTGGGGGAAAAAGTTGAATGCTTTTTAGTTTTGACTCTAGAAATATAAATGTGCATATGCAGACATGTATGTCCAGTCAAATGCTATGGAAAACTATCTTATTAGATCAGAGATTTAACTTGGCATATGTTCTTTGTAATAACAGAGACAGCCTGATAATATGGGTGCTGTGACAGTGATTGCTGGTTGTCCCTCAATAATCATTCCCCTTTCTTTCTTGCTGGCACATAGCTTTTTGTAATAAAATCTACATTTCCCAGCCTGCCTTGTGGCTAAGTGTATTCATATGAATAAGATTTGGGCAATGGAATATAAGGAGAGGTGGCAAGTAAATTAGCAAGTGTTACTGGGGTATACATTTCATTGCCTTTCTTTCTTCCTACAAGATAGAATAAAGCATTCATGGCTAGGGCTCAAACAACCATCTTGAGCTCTGAGGTGGAAGCTATATGTTGATAATGGCGGAGCATCACATAGAAGAACAATGCAACATATTTCTTGGTCTTCAAAGAACTGCCCCTCAACCCCCCCACTCTTTAGTTTTCTCCCAGATTTGCCCCCAAGAAGCCGAAAAACAGTAAAACTGATCTATCACTCTGAAGAAATATTATATCTTCAACATAGATCCTACTAGCATCTTTGAAGCAGAACAGCCACTCAGTTTCATCACTTTAATCACCCTTTAGTATCCTCTGAGCCATTACACAAAAGCACATCACAGAACCCGCACAAACCCCAGACCCAACGATCCACATCTAGAGGTCCCCATTGTAGACCTCTCTAATGCTGAAGGCCACCTTACCCTACTGATGCCAGCCAACAAGTGAGCTTCTGTGCCCAAAAAAATTAACCCAAAAAGCAGCAGCTGCCAGACAGTATCACTAGATACTTTATGAAAATGCAGATCATCAACCCAACCCCTAGAAGTTTATGTTTAGTCAGTAGGACTTGGAATTTGTGTCTCATCCAGGACTACTGAAATTCTGAAGCAATGGTGTTTTGGTTATTCTCTAGGGAAAACAACAAATATTAATATACCCATTAATAACCCATTAGTTAATTCACTAACTAACCAGCAAAGTCTGGTTTAACCCATACCCCATACACTCAGTTAAGACGGATGAATCATTTAGAAGAGACAATTAGACCTTAGCTTCCCACTGGCTGGTTCAGGCTTCTGGGGATACAAAATATCTACACAGAACTTCGCAGCTCACAAAATACTTTCCTATGTATGGAAGTCTCATAAAACGCTATGATGTAGATACAGTTACGACCCTCATTCACACAGAAGAAAAGTTCAAGCTGCAAGAGTTAAAGACCAGTGTCTAGAGTTACACTCAGAGCCTCTGATTCTAGTTTTAAGACTCCATTATTTACATCATGACTGTCTCCTTAGGAAGGAAGTACAAGAACCCAAAACAAATGAGACGCAAAGCATGATAAGATGGAGGGCATGGGCGATACTGCAGCTGAAAAGCAGGCAGGAGATAGCATGAAGGCACTGGGTACCTGAATGTGGAAGACGAAGGTCAAAAGCAATCTCTAAAGGAAGGATGAAAATGCACCAAAGGTAGAATGCCCGGACTGCAAGTTTGGCTGCATCCAGCCTAATCTAGAAGGAAAGCTAGCCGCAAACAGTCACAAAGGAAAATTTTAAAGAGATGCTCCTACCTGGTCTGTAATTGCCTGTGATGAGGCAACATCTGGGCCAGACTGTTGGCCCCGGATGGACGTGCAGCAGCAAATACATAACCAGGTCTCTGCTAATTAGAAGTCTGCTTTTCCGCCCTTCCACAATTAGCACAGAATGAGGTTGTGAGCATCTTTGATTGTGCTAACCCCGGACACGAATATTTTATTCATTTGGACCATACCCCAAAATTAGCATACTTAAGGAACTATAATATGCTGTACTATGTTAATGAGAGGAACCTCTCCAAGGAAGAAATTGTACTATGGATGCACAATACATACTATTTACCAAGATAATGAGGATGCTGTCTGTCCTGTGCTACGTATGTCTATCCAAAATTTGCATTAAACAAAATCAATATATGTATAAAGCTGTGTAGCAACATTATTGAAGTTAATTATTTCATTTGCAATATAATTTGTGGGATGTGCAACAAATGTCCTGGGGGCTTAAGATAACCTGATCTGCTCTCATCTTCTTCATACACCGAGTTAGTGGGTCCTTTAAAAAAGGAGAACAAGACCGCATCATGGATGGGGTAGAGGCTTGATCACTGCACTGTACACCTGAAGCTGATGTTGTATAATATTGTATGTCAACTATAAGTGAATATATATATATAGTCACGGGACGTAGAGTGTAGTGTGGGAGTGGAGTCAAGGGAATTGTAATAGATATGTATGATATTGGGGGGAAGTGGGTGGTGGATTGGGGGAGGGCAGTTGTCACTTCGAGGGGTAAAAAGTATAACTATTGCACTGTGTTGTACAGCTGAAACTAGTTCTAAAAAATGTGTATTTCCTAATAAAAAATAATTAAAAGAAAAAAATGGAGAACAATACAGGACACTAAGAGGGGTGAATCATTTTGGAGAGGCAATTAGGCCTCCGCTTTCAAAGGGCTGGCTCAAGGTTCTGGGCACATTTCTAGCGTGTCTATGCGAGAAGACAGGCATTGTCCTGAATCCTTCCCACCACCAGGTCTACAAGCTCCTGCACAGTCTGGTACCCACACAGCTTTCAGCATCCACACCTCCTACCAGTCCCTGTCTGGCCCAGTTTGCCTAAGTCACATTGGCCTTCTTTCAGTTTCTTGAGTATTCTTAAACGCTCCCTGTTCTAGGACCTTTGTATATGCTAACCCTCTACCTACTGGAAACACAGCGCTCCTCTGCTTCCTATGGCTAACCTCTGCTCACTCCCCAGGTGTCCGAGTCATTGTCATATCCTTGGACAAGCTTTGTCTGATTACCTCCACTTCAAATTAAGTCTCCAGTCTATGAGTCTTAGAGCTTGTATGTCATTCCTTCATACCATTTATTACCATAAAAATATAGAGCAATCTGGGTAAATATCTGTTGAATGAATGCCCCCATCCATTATACCGTAGCTCTACGTGGGCAATTGCCAAGCCTAGTCAGGTACTCTAAATATAGCAACTACATGATAAATAAGTATGCATGGAATGAGTAAATAAATGAACATAACTTTTTAAAGTAAAAACATTAACATGTTTTAGTACTACAGTGTGAAGGACTAAGATTTGGTTTAAAAACAAAAACAAAACGTATCTTGGGCCATTAAACAATAGCAAGCATTCAGTGACAGATTTAAGTCTATAAGAAATCACCATTTGTTCTATAAACTTTCCTAAGTTGGAAACTTGAAACTAAGTGGGACTTGGAAATTGTATTAAATTAGTAACTTGCAAATGCCAGGGTTCACAAAAGTAACATAAAATTTGTTTCATGTAACATTTCTCTTTGCCTTACCCCTCCTTTAGTGTTTCAGATTCAGTAAGCCTGAGGTGGGTGCTGGGAGTCTGCAATAAACAAACACTTCAACAAATTTTAATAAAGTGACTAATTCTACAAGTATTTATTGAGCACCTAATAGGTGACAGGCATGGCATGAGGTGATGAAGACATGGATGATATCCAAGTTTGAGAGTCACTGCAACAAATGATGACCTGGTAATTTTCTGAATACATCACCTCCAAGGCTATAATTCTCATTCATTTGCATATTCAGTAGGTATTTATCCATGACCCCTAAAGCCTAAGGCTCTTTACAAGTCTTAAAGTGACAGACAATCTCTTTCCCTCAAGTTCTTGCTATATTTCAGAAAAAAAGCAAACACGCATTCACATTTATGGGCTATCTGCCAAACATCAAGCTCTGATAAACACTTTGACGTGTTCTTAAATAGGTATGTTTATGAACAGTTATTCAGGTCTCTAAAAATTAATATAATGTTTTTGTGCTTACTAATTTTTCTGTTGTGATAAGCACTGTGGTTTTAAGCATAGGAATTATTTTAGCAAGCATTAAGGTAACATTTTTATTCATGATTAAGTTACATTGGAATCCTATGAAACAAGTGCCTTTATTATTTGTCAATGACTTGCTCAAAGTCACCTAGCTAGTAAGATAAAAGGGAAAATTAAATGTGTATAAATACCTTCAATAGGAGGCAGTCAGTGCTAAGTACCCAATGGAACGATAGAGGAACACAAGCAGAAAACCATTAGAAAGGGAAAAATAAAAAAAACAAGTGTGAGGGCTACAAGGCATTCACTATGGACTTCAAGGTGAGGCCATTTCATCTATGACCCTGCTTTTATTAACGGAAAGACTTGCAAAGGGACGTCAGTCCCTAAAGCTTCTGTTTTCCATGTACTGTATAAACCATGCAGTGAAATTTCTTGTCAAGATGTTTTTATGTTTTTATTTTTTGTTCCTTTTGTGTCTTAAATACTGATCTGCCTCACCCATCCTTGTGCTAGTGTCCAGCCCAGGCTTATTCTCACAGGCATCCAACAGAGACAGCCTTCCACGGGGCTCCATGTGGCCCCGTGCTTTCGCAGCCTTCCCTTGCAGAGTGCTACCACTGGGGAGCAGCCACGGGGTAGCAGACAGGCCTGTTTGATACTTACTGCATTTAGGACTGGCGCTGGGTTGAACAGCATCTGCCCCAAAACCCATGTTCACCTGGAACCTCAGAATGTGGCCTTATTTGGAAATAGAGTCTTTGCAGATGTAATTCATTAAACTGAGGTTACTCTGGCTTACAGGGAGCCCTGAATCCAATGACTGGTGTGAGAAGGCCATGTGAAGATACACACAGAGGAAAAGGTCATGTGATGATGGATGCAGAGACTGGAAATGATGTGGCTACAAGCCCAGGAATGGCTGAGGCCACCGGGCCAGGAGAAGCAAGGGAGGATTCTGGGAGTTTTCAGAGGGAGTGAGGCCCTGCTGACACCTTGATTTCAGACGTCTGGGCTTCCAAACTGTAAGAGAATGAATTTCTATTCTTTTAAGCCACCCAGTTTGTAATAATTTCTTGTAGCAGCCCTAAGAAACGAAGCCAGATTTTATCAGCTACACATAGGTCATTATGACCTTGTTCCTATATTATTATTATGCTTTTTTCACTGCCCCAACACGACTGTCTGGTATAATTTTAAATAATGGAGACACATGACAGCAAAGTCACAAAGTAGTGACCCTTTAATAGAAATAAGCAACCTGTGATATTTAAGAGTTTACAAAGAAGAACTTCAAAAACATCCAATGTTTTTCAGATATAATTTTCCATTAGCCAAACTTCTATGCCAAAATCAGCGCCACTCATATTGTTTATGGGACTCATCCATGAGAATAGATGAAAACAATTGCCAAAGTATGTCTCCATGGATACTGAGATTCTCAGGAATTTGGAACAACAGAGATGCCCTCTGACTTTAAGGTGAGAGATAAAGGATGCTCTGGATATTGCTATGAGAGGGCTTTACAAAAATCTCTTCAGAAAAGGTTCCCAAACCTGTCAAAGAATGAATGATCCTTGTACAATGTTGCAGGCAGTAAGAGAGGTGTGTGTGTGTGTGTGTGTGTGTGTGTGTGTGTGTGTGTGTTAAGAAACAGCAACCTGTCCATCCCTTTCAAATATCCTCTTTCGAGGAACAAGACACCACTGTTTTCAGGGTGATCACAATTTTTCAACCTGTGACAATGTTAAATTTAAAACCATAAACGTGCACAAGAAGACTTTCAGCACAGTTTACGTATACCTTATGGGTTGTTAGACTTTGCACTCAGATGCAATGATCATGAAGGGAAATATTGAGGACTTGCCAAAATCTCTGCACATGAGTCTGCCACATTTATACTCTATTCTCCCACAGAGCATCCCACCACATTTCGTATTCAAGAAATACTGGATCACACATTTATAACAGCAACAGGGCATGTTTTCAATCGCATTAGTGCTTCTAGCATATGCAACTGAAATCCATCATATCCCTTTCCCTGAATATATTTACAGCTCACCAATTAGTCTACATGGTTATTAATTATGGCGTGTTTAACCCAGTGATAATTTCAAATGAGAAGTAACTCTTAGTACTCTGGAAATCAGTCATAATCCCTTCATTCACCTGCCCCTACAAATATATGTTGGGGGTATTGCAGGGAGTGTTAAGTACATAGATGCTGAAGTTAGGGTGGCCTGGGTTCAAAGCCTCAGTCTTTGACATTTTATCTGTGACCTTGGAGGTTGTCTTCCAGTTTGTCTCCACACCTTCATTCAGTCCACTCTTGGAAAGGAGAGGGTTTATCTCATGCGTGAGTTTGGAAGAAGGAGCTGAGTATGCACCAACAACCCCCTCCTCTCTCTTCCTTTCAAGCTTAGCCTCCTTGCAAAGAGGGCTCAAGATGGTTTGTGACTCCATGACCATCTCTCGGGGAAGGCTTGAAGCTGCCTACCTCTGCCATGCACTAGGTGCACACATATTTCTAATTCATAGAGGATGTCCAGCCTCGCTGATGAACCAAGTGATGTTCTCTAATCAGCTTGTCAAAACTAAAGTGGGGGGAAAAGAAGCATTATTTGATCCTTGTAAAAAAACAAAAACAAAACAAAACAAAAAACACAAGCCTCAAAGATAGGTTGTGAGAACTTAATGAGATAGTAACTGCTAAGCTTAGGAGAATGCTGAGGACGTGTTCATCAATTGACTATTGGCCAGTTTTATAATTATTTTTCTTATGGATATCACAACCACTTACATTGTCACTGCTGGTGCTGCATTTTACACTTGACACTCTTGGATGGGCAGCAGCCAGAGAACTGTGACTTCTCATTTGCATAAATGGTTTGCAAAAGAGTAAGAAAACGCCTTCCAATGAAAAGTTTGTGTTCGGTTGCTTAGTGGAGAGAAAAGAGAGAAAAATGGAGGTGATATCACAGCATATGGCACTCGGTCAGAGAAACCTTTCATACTCATACTGACCTCTTTGGAGGTCTTCCTTCTGTTTCTGTGAGAACTCAGTGCTGCTAGGCTCTAAGGAGGACTTCAGTCAACGGAATGTCATTGGCTCCTCCAGAGGTCTGCATTTCTCAGTATCCACTTAATATTGCATTGTCGGAAAAGTCAGGATGCATTTTTGCAACGAAAAACATAGAAAAAAATACGTCATGACTTTTCTGATAATCCAATAAAACTGAGGCTCTTTGACATCACAATTGGTCTCCAGTCCAGTGGAGTCAAAATGTTCTCATTCTGCTCTAATCTGTCCATCCCTGTCTTTCATTCCCTGTATCCTCCATCACATACATCCACACCAAATACCAAATTTCTAACCAAAAGCACTGTGCAGTTTTTGAGCTTCAGGGCATAGTGTACTCATATTTTTCTTTGTTTCTTCACTTTCAGGAACAGTCTTGTCTAGATCTTAGTTTGTGATTAAAGTAAGAGCATAGAGAGGTAGTAATGAAAGAAGCAAGGGAATAGTGGCAGGAAAAAGTAGGGGAGAAAAAATGAGAGAGGAGCGAGGTCTAAAAACATTCCAACAAAGAGCCAGTTTCGGAAATCGGTACAGCCCAGTTTTTGTGTTAAAACTGTGGCAAAAGAAAATAAGATAGATATTAGAACAAACTCCACAGGCTGACCAATTTTCAATGCTGATTAGACATAAATTTCAAACTGTAATTTTGAGATTAGATGTAAATCCTTGACTTAAATGTCAGGTTTTTTGTTTCCTCTTTGGGTTACTGCCTCCATAATTCTGATCTTTGCAATATAATCTGGCAGATGTTGTTCAAATTCTTCTAATAGTTTGCCTCACTTAGAACATTCGCTAATACTAACAATGGGTGACATGTATTATGCACTCAACTTTATGCTAGGAACTGTTATAAGTACTTAATATTCATTGATGTATTTAATTCTCTCATTGCCTCTTTGATGATATATAATTTTTATTTTTTGAAAACGGTTAAGGCACATGAAGAGTAAATAAGTTACCGGTATCCTAGAAACAAATAGTTACACTAGATACAAACTGAGGCTATCTCAATCCAGAACCAACCACTGCGTTAAGCTGTTTAGGAATATCCATGAATGCGAACAAAAACTAAATAGTGGTATTTATAAGTTTTAATTTCTTAAATAGCCCATGTTTAATAATTTCAAGTTTTGTGTTTTTTATTGGACTAGAGCCAATGTTTGCTAATATTGAATAAGCTTTTATCTCAAGTTGGATATGGAGAAGTAGTAATATATTGACAGTAGGGTAAAGGTCCAAACCAGTACCGAGGATTAAACATTATTATATAGCTTCTATATATAAATGACCTTATGATGCATTCTCTCCTCATTCTAAGTTTTTATTTCCATGACTTAGAAGAGGATCCCTGATCTCAGCCCACTGTAACTGTCCCATCAGCCTCACTTCTCTGTACCTCCTCCTTCCATTCACCATCACCACAGTACGTTCAAAGGATGCACTTGGGACATTTTTGGATGGATAATTCTTCAATGTACGAGACTGTCTCACACAGTCTAAGACCTTTGGAATTCCTGGCTGTAGGTACCAGATGCCGATTGCCAACCTCAAATGCCCAAACACTTTCCCAAATTGCCCCAGGAATGGCACTGTACTTGGTTAAGAGTCATTGGCCCAGATCATCAGAGCCAACCAAGTATGTTTTACAGTAATTTTTCATTTCTATTTGCTTACATTGCAAATATAGTCCCATCTATATGTATGTGATGAAAATGTAAGTCCTCTTACATGCTCTAGTCTGCATGTTTACTCCAGACAATTCCGGAGCTCCCTCTTCAGGTAAGGTTTGTGTGTTTTCATTGTAATGTATTTAGTTCATTGATTGAATCTTTTTCAGGATGGAAAACAAGGCATGCATTTCAACATTTCATTACTGTCCTAGTAGTCTATTCATTTCTAGGAATGAAAATGTTAACGGCATCCCTTTGATGGGGCATGGGGTGTGATCACTAAATGTTAGACCTATTATATAATAGACATTTTATATAAGTGAACTCCTTATTTTAATATTTACATCAGTTCTTCATGGTGGCTATCATTCTGCCCATTTTGAAAACAAGAAAACTGAGACTTAAAGATAGTAAATCATTTGCCAATAACATTAATAAAGGTAGTAATTATATAATACTAACAACACAGATGCCTAATTCCCTTAGGGAAAAACTAAATTCTCAGGCTTTAAATGATTGAATTTGTAAAGGTAATGCTTAGGAGATCATGACAGTCCTATTGGGAGGTTGTGTAGAAGAGCCTCATTGGGCCCTCTCCAAAAAAGAATCAGCTGTCACTTACTTTGCCTATTTATCTGATAAAGCTTGGTGGCTATAATCAAATCTATTCTTGCCTAGCCTAAGGCAGACACTAAAGATCCCTGGAGTAAGGTCACTTGTCCAGAAAATAAGATATACAATAGACAATCTAGAACATCCTAGAAATAAATGACCAAAGCATCTGAAATTTGAGAGTTCAAAATATTGCCGCTGGTTGTGCTTCTTTACAAGGTTGGCCCTCAGCCTCTTTATTTGTAAACAGGAGAGGTGGATCCTTGAGAGCTGCTAATATTCCTCCAAGAGGCTGAATTTAAGGTACAAAGGCTCTTGCGTAAGAAATTTCTTCATTCAATTATTCTCTTGACATTGCCCCATATTTTTACATAATGCTCCTAAATGTATCTGGAACACACAAGAGGGAAAAAGAAAAAAAACTACCTCTTTTAGAAGTATGTCCATTTTTGTGGACTGGTTGGTGGGGAGAGATGTTTCACAAGGCTAAAGGTAGAGAGAAGAACTCACTTTATGTGAGAGGGTGCATTGCAATGAGTACATGAAATTACAATACAAAGAACCAAAGAGAAAAATTACCTTTAGAGTGACAGGCTCTCCTTCAAGGAGACGAAAAGCCAAATAATGTATGCCTGCGAAGGTGCTGTGGACTCATATTTTAGCCGGTAGGATTCCTCAGGATTTCAATAACTGAGCCTCTTGCAGGGGGACCTATTAATCCTTTGCATGCTTTGCCATTAATATTGTTTATTGAGTCACAAGAAGAAGACATAAACCTTTAATGTCACTTTTTCACATTAAGGATTTTTTCCTTGAAAATTCAATAGTATCTGCCAATTTGATATGGCACTTTAAGGAGATTAGAGAAGCAGATGGCTGATTCTTAATGACTAATTTTTTTGCATCAACCAAAGATGTGTTATTTGATGCATACTGCACAGAACGACATTGCTGTTAATGGAGTTAGGCTGTGCTACCGAAAGGGAAAAGGAAACATTTATGCTGACAAATAACAGAGATTAGATTCAGAAGGGTCTGGAAGGACAACAAAGCACTAGGACTTAACAATCAAAAACGTAAGATTCTGGAGGAGAGGGGGAGGGGTGTGAAGAAGAACCCAGTGTCAATGCTGAGGAAAGCCTCCTGGGAGAATTACAAAAAGTCCATAGTTTAAGAGAGGAGGCGGGCAGACATCAGTTCAAAGCTTTGGACAGCCATTTGTGCTCTAGATAACTTAAGACAGTTAGTTGGTTATTAGTTTCAGTAAAAGAAAATGCCAGCAGGAATAAATCTTGTGAAAAGATGCTATTTATAAGCCCTAAATTTAAAGCTGCATCGAATGTGTTGAGCTCAGTGTCTGACATTCAGTAAACACTCATTTGTTAACTGATGTGAATGCTCATCAGGTACTGACTTTTCTCCTCAGCAGTTTTTTTTGTTTGTTTGTTTTTTTCTCCTACCTCCTGATAAAGCTAAACAACTTGCAACCCCTTCGTTATTCTCTATTTAATCAGTAACAGTTTTGGAGGACCACTCCTTTTGCTCATCTTCCTGTGCCCTTACTCCCAATTTCAGGCATAGGAATGTTGGGAATACTATGGATATTAAGAAAAAAAAAAGACTCCAAGAAAACATAAAGGGAAGGAGAAGAAATGGGAGGCAGTTACAGAACACATGGCCCCTAATGGAGTCAATATCTCAACTAAACAATACTTCAGAGTTTGAGACAACTGGGCATCACCATGCTGGGAAAAAGGACAACAGCCAAATATTGTGATATGATAAAGGTGGAAATGATTCTAGAAGAAGTGAAGCAAGTTTCATTGTGTGTTGATGATGTAATAGAAGGAAGAGGATCCAGTGCATCTTTGTGGAGACAACTTGAGCCAGCAAAACAGCAAGTTTTGTACCGAGTTGGGCTATCTAATAAGGTGGCCAGTGGCCACAGGAGGCTTTTTACATTAAAATTAAACATTTAAAATTCAGTTCCTTATTCACACTGATCACATCTGAAGTGCTCAACAGCCACGGGGAGCTAGAGGCTACCATGTATTGTAGGCTATCACCATCATCACAGGAGGTTCTGCTTGACAATTCTTGCTTGACAAGAAAAAAAGGAGGAATTTTCTACTTCACCATGTATCCAGCGACTATTTAGTGTCAGTTATTCTTTTTTTACTGTTAGGTTTACAGGATGACTAAAGGAAGGTTATAGCTCTTAAGGCATTTGCAGGATAGTTGGAGAAATGGAAAATAAACAAATAGTAGCAATGCAGTAAGCCAATCACCGGACATATGAATGAGCATGAAAACAGTGAGGAGGTAGCAATAAATGATGTTTAACTGGGTGGGAACCTGGTTGTGGAACAGCACTTAGCCTTTTATTAACTATGCAACTTTGGACAGATTACTTTAGTTCTCTGGACCTTCGTTCATTCTTTCACTTGTTCATTCATTGTTTACTTCCTTCCTTCATTTTTCCAACAAATATTTCTTGAATGTTTTTCATGTGTGTCACGTGGGGTTGGGAATATTTGGAGCCATTGTAGGGCTGGTTAAAATATAACCATTCAGTCCATTTCATTTTTCCCTAAAGGGATGTCATTGCTTTCTCTAATTCATTTCATCTTGATTACATCCTTAGAGACTTTCTCTTTGTTATCAGAACCACCTCATCTATTCATTCAACAGACATTATTCAACACTTGCTATGTAATAGGCAAATTAAAGACATATATAATAAATTGGAATACCATAGCCTTTTCTCTGAAAAATCCAGTGATATAAACAGAAACATAAAAATAGTACAATTCAATGTGATGAAAGTATGGGAAATAGGGTCTATGTAATAAAAAATAAATAAAATAAAAGAGGAAAGAGACCTAACATTCAAAGCAGATAGTTTGCCCCTTACTCCTCCATAAAATGATGCATTTTGTTACGTATCTTCTAACAAGGATGCAAGCCTTGCACACTATGTATAACGCCATGCTTAATTACAATCCACCAAATGGCAAAGTATCCCTCACCAACAAATGGGAAGCTTTTGGGAAGAGAAGGTGAGAATTCAGAGTCATCTGCACATTAAAGATTCCAAGTTGTACATCAATCAGAATCCACCTAAAGCATTCTCTCTGTACGTCAGTGCTTGCTAGGTCGGTCAATAAAACATTCCATCAATAAACATTTACTGAATGGCTGCTCAGTGCAAGCATTAGTTAAGGCTAAAAAGGATACAGAAATGTGCGTGGCATGCTCTTTGCCCTCAGTGAACTTCTAATCTAAGTCAATAGATTTTTAAAATTCTATTTGTGGCTAAAGGGATTGTCGTCAATGTGTTTTAAGAAATCAAAGGCTGGGCCGGCTGAGTGGCTCAGTTGGTTAAGAGCTCGCTCAAGAGTTTGAGCTCTGAGCAACAGCAGTTCGAGTCAGCCCGAGCTGAGCAGCCGTGAGCTGCCAACAGGTGGCGGGATGGCTCAGCTAAAAAAAAAAAAAAAAGAAATCAAAGGCTCAGTATGCTTCCTGTAGCAGGTAGAATTTCTGGCGGGATATGATGGTAACATTTAGTCATGAAAAAAGGGGAAGAATGTCTCCATAAAGAGTAAATAGCAAGAATAAAAGCTCAGAGAGAAGCTTAAGACCAGATCTGGCTGGTGTTTCATTGGTTAGGCACCATGAGCCTGACACTAAGCTGTGTTACTTAAGCATAATACTTCATTTCATTTTTACCATAACATCATGATGTAAGTATTATTACAGTGGTTTAAAGATGAAAACTCTAGGGCCAAGAGAACTTAAAATAGATAACTTACCTGAGATCACAAAGTCAATCAATACCTGTTTAAGCCATGGTTCAAACTCAAAACACTGTGGCATTCAAGTCTTTTCACATAGGCATTAATCAGTAATATAGATAGTCTAGCTGGTCATCTGAAGGGGAGGACTAAAATATGCGATTAGAAAGTTCACTTAAACTAGATAATTGAGGGTCTTGATGGTTGGGCTAAAAAAGCTTGATACTCTAAATATTACAAAAAAAATCATTCCAAAGGAATTAAATACATGGAAAATTATTTAAGTGTACCCTGAATTTAGTTCAGCCATATTTCACAATGTAAATGCAGGAGATCTGGAATAATAAAACACAATACCTAGGCTTATACTTCTGAATTGTCTGAGCCTGTAGCCAAAACCTCACAAAGGAAGTAGAGGAAGAGACAGAAAAATCAGCTACTGAGTTCAAATAATGGCAGGTGTGTATATATGTTTATTTTTAAGTAGAAGTGCCATGTTCTATAACCATACTGAACTCACAGGCTTAACGCCAAGGACAAAGGACCTTCTTTAATGACATTCAGGTATCCGGTGATGGCAGCAAGCACACCAGGGAAGTCTCAAACAAAAGGAAATAGATATGCAATATCTATACAAGCTGTCATGCCCGGCAGTAACAAACAACTGAAGACCCAATTGGCCAACTTGGGATGCTGACCGAAACTTGGCTCTGTCCTGAGGGCACTGTTGCCAGGATCTATAATTGTATTTCTACAACATGGAAATTAACACTTATCATGAGGATTGATTTTTTTTTCCTCTTCCCTGCTCCCCTCCTTTGAGAACAGCACCATTGTCACTCATTGTTGATTGCCTTCTTACCCTCTGCACCGTCTGTTCAGTTCACATTAAATTGAGACATCCAAGAAAAAAATCAGAAGCATTAATGCTCTGTTCCAGTTGTGGAACTCGTCATTTAAAAAGAGCAAGAACCACACACACGCACATATACACACGTGCATGCGTGGCCCTAAACACACCACACACATTCACATTGGCAATAGCCCAGCAACAGGAATAAGAGACTCCTGAGGTAGGCTGAAAATGATAAATGGAGCACAGTTGAGAAGTAAATTGCCAGAGGTATCAGAAGACACATTTTGGTGATGCCAACAGTGGCACATTAATTTCAATAGCTGACAACTAGAAAGTTAAAGGGAACCCACCCCTGTCATTCATGTGGGCTGCTGATTGATTGATGCCAACTTTCTCTCCTTCCCTGGCATCTCATCATCTCCTATCCCTTTCTGACAAGATCCCTAAATTTCCCTAAGCAAAGAAGTCAAGCCTAAGGCAAGAGCTTCTTATTAATTGTACTAAATGGAGTGGGGATCTATAAAGGTCATGGTTGCTTGCTAACAAGCTGTCACCCAAACCAAGTGCCTTTCAAACATGACTAATTATCAGATTGGTAGAGATGGCTTGAATCTCTGCAGAGTTAGTCTATGCAGCATGGGAGATGTCTCTGATAACATAAAGGATGTATATAAGGAGCTCACAGGACCATTGCTATAATTGTTGGATACATAGTCCTTCCCATAATTCATCTGAAACTAAATCGGGACCCATGTCACCACAGCGACAAGAGTGTGGTTTTAACAGCAGTGAAGACAGTTATTTTCTCAGTTCAGACACCAGCTGGAGAAATATACTAGAGGAAAAAAATTGCATGTGCTTTTCACACTTAAGTTAGACATGGATTCTTAGAATGTTTCAGACCACCAATCAGAGACAAAAGACATACAAGCAATGTAACATGCAAGTAAGTGACCGTGATTTGAGAAAGCAAATACAAAACTGGTAGGTTCATCATTCTTTGAAATAGTTGAAGGATGTTCTTATGGTCACTGCTGAATATATACTCAGATAATATAGAAAACATATGTACTTCTTCACTCAGAATGGGCTTAGAACATGCCACCATTTAATTATGTGATATTTAAATCTCCAGTGTCTCAATATCTCTAGTGATAATATGGTCCAGCAAGATCTGCTTTACTATCACCTAAAATATTAAATGATAAATGAAAAAAATATATGTGATTGGAGCTCTTTGGGAAAATTGATGATGCTTTCTAACAATAAATTCACAATTTTATAAACACATAACATTTTCGGGGGGCCAAATCGATGGTTTCATTTAAAATATTCTATCATTGCTTTTGGAAGTCTCAATGTAAATTACAGAATGTGTATTTAATATATGTGGTATATTTACAAAGCAATGATAATAAAGTGCACAAATAACTATAATAAATATTCTCATCTAATGGTCTTATTTAAACATTGTCCAGAAAGTTTCTTCTCTGTGTCATAGCAGGAAAAACCAAAGAATGAAAAATAAAGGCTACAAAAGTATAACTAGATTATCACTATTGAATCTTTCCAGCTTACTATATCAATTTCTCCAGGCTCTGCCAGACTGTTGGAAAAGTGAAAGTAAACAAGGGTTCTATGCAGAGCAAGAACCATCTAAATAATTTAAATAGTTGATAGTAAAGGAAAAGAAATTAAAAGATGTAAAAGAGACATTTACCTTCCCCTAGAGGAGTGCTGTGTATCTTCATTACGTGATGACCAGGCTTTGATCTATTTAACATCATAGACAAGGGCAGAAACAAGGAAAAGGAAGAATTCATGCCATTTAGGACCAAATCAAATCGTCTCTATTAAAGTAGCATGGGACAGAAGGCGGGGGAGACAGAGATACTTTATATCACTGTATTCACGTAGTTGATATTTATTTAGCACCTATTATGCTTCAACCACTGCAAAAGAATATAAAAATGAATCTGGATTCTTTCCCAAAACAGCTGTCAGTCTAGTGAGATAAATATATAAATATAGACGTAAAAGGAAATCAACGTGTAAATAGGAAAGGGAAGCTAATGATACAGTGCTCTAACTGCTGCTTTATGGATACAAACAGAGGTACTACGTCTCATTCACAGGGCAGCTGTCTCAGGCATCCTAAGACCCATTTTGGCAGCTTTTACGATGATGCGATGTAGCAAGACTGGAAATGGTCCAGAAAAGAGCAGCACTAATGATACAGGCAGAGAGACAGACTTACCAGGTGAGCTTAAGGAAGCTATATGTGCACTGCTTGCCTAAGTGAAGACAGGCTGTCAATATTTTGTGGTGTAAGTATCAAGGAATAACATAGGAAAGTTAAGTGGAATTAGAAACGGTAAAAAGCTGGGTATAAATCGGGGTAAAAATGTAACGACACGTGTAAACTGTAACATAGAAAAATTGCTTCTCTAGAAAGGGTAGAAGTCCATCTCTTGGGTCATTTGATCTAGGTCTTTTTGTCTGCTGGCTCGATTCTAGGAAATAAACACACAATTTATTTTCAGTACAGTTTCTCAGACATTGCTTTAGGATAGTGTATTTGCTACATATTAAGACAAGTGTGAAAGAGGACTAAGGTAGGGGACCTGCTATAGAGTAAACGTTTGTGTCTCCCCCAAAATCGTATGTTGAAACATAACACTCAATGTGATGGTGTTAGGAGGAAGGGCCTTTGGGAGGTGATTAGGTCATAGATGGGATCACCGCCCTTATAAAAGAGACCACAGGGAGATCCCTCTTCCTACCGCCATGTGAGATTACAGCCATGAGAAGATGCTGTCTCACCAGACCCATAATCTGGTAGTGCCTTGATCTTGGACTTGCAGCCTCCAGAACTATGAGGAAAGAATTTCTGTTGTTTACAAGCCATCAGTCTGTGGTGTATTGTAATAGTAGCCCGAACGGACTAAGACACAGCCTGTACTTAAGGAATTCACAGCCTGACGGAATTCTGTGTCCTTCCCATCACTCCCCATATGTTCCACCTCCTACTGGTGCTTCTCTGATGTCAGAAGAGTCCAGCTATCTCAGATTACTTGGTGTTCCTAGGACCCAATCAAGCATGCCTTATCCCACCGAACTACAAAAGTCCCTCTTTTCCCTCCCTTTTCACCTTCAGCACACACACACACACACACACACACACACACACACGTACACACACACACACACATTGGCACACTTAATTAAAGAAAATAATTCAGGCATTTAGTACAGTAGTATCTATATTTAAAGATATTTAATGTGATATTTTTCATCTTTACCATATATATTAAAGTTGACAAAACAGAAAAACCATCCTGATTGATCTCTACTCTGTGAGTGACTGGTAACTTCAAAAGTTAATTTTTTTGGTAGCATGTAAAAAAAAATTGTAAGAATAAAAAAGCTGTTTATAGAAGGGTAAAGAAGAATCCTACAATCACAGTGTAGTAAAGGTTATTTTTTGATAGCTTTCCTAAGATCAATCAGCAAATATTGGGAGGGGTGCGTGTGTGTGTGTGTGTGTGTGTGTGTTTGCATGTGTGTGTGTGTTTGCCTGTGAGTGTGTGCATGGGCCTAACTGAACGTGAAAGGTCTGTGAAGCTCTCTTCAGCAGCCCAGGTACCTTACGACCACAGGTAAAGTGAGTATAGCTAAAGGCAACGCAGCACCCTCTCAGACAACCTGCAGAACAACCACATGAACAGCTGAGCCAGGCTCCCAGGTCACACGGTGAGCACTGCAGGCACTCCTGCCATCTTTCTGGGCCAGGAGTCCCTGCTCCTCCCTCTGTACTTCGTCACTTCCTAGGACACGTTCAGGGCCAACCTCTCTGGGCTGTGGGGATTCACACCAATTTTCCACTTAAAACAACTGCCTGGGTTGTTACATTTGGTTTTCTTTTTAAGTCAGCAAAACATCTCTGACAAAGTTTTACACTTGTGAGATAACTACCAAAAAAACCCAAACTATCCAACTCTTGGAAAAGTTCTTTCCAAGATTTGTAATAAAGGATACATAAAACAGGAAATGCATGTCACACTCTTCCTTTGTGACGGGCAAAATGCTAAGGACTTTACATGCATTATTTCATTTAATCCTCATGAAATGATCTTATTTAACACCTAAAATAACATTACGAGGCATTTACTATTGGGATTCCCATTTTACAACTGAAGAAGTAGAGACTTAGAGATGTTAAATTAATTTTTCAAGGTTTGAAAGCTGAGTGGTGGCAGCTCTATTTGAAATTTCAGAGTCTAAATTTTTAACTACTCGACTGTAATATGGGAGAGAATAGGATGTTGAAGTTGAGGAATTCTATACCAACAAAAAGAAGCTCTCCAGAACAGTAGCAATAAAGATAGAAAGCAATTGAAAACTCACCATTTTTCTTACGATCTGTATGGCTAAGATCCTCCTCATCATCATTATAATATACGTGTCTATGAAAGTTGAGTTGGGTAGATATGACTGAGCCCTTTAATAGCTTTAGAACAGAGAAAAAAAATCAACTAAATATTTCTATATATGGTGACTGGCCATACTGCTACCTTTATGTGTTACTTTGGCTATTAGGGCTTGGGTTTTCATTTCTCTGTCACTCTAATGAGAGAAATGTATGCATTTGTACTGTTTGAAAACAACAGTCTAACCATCTACTCAGAGTTTGTGCTCAATGCTGTGTATTTTTGTCCAATACAGTGTTTTAAAGTTTGAGAATTTAAAGGTGTTCACAAGAGCCCTATTTTGACCGCAAGTCCCATTTCATCCACTGTATCATATGGCTCTGATTACTCATTTGACAACTGCCTGGCCCCTGTAGACAGTGGAGCTAGAAATGCTTGATCTACTCGTAATGTAAGATCAGCCTCAGATTATGCACTGATGTACTAGATCCTTTTCTGGCCAGAGGGCAGATATTTGCATAGCTTTGAGCAAGCCACCACATTTCTTCTGAAGTCATTTTAGCGCTAAGTTTTCCTTGTCAGTCAAGTGAGCAAAAGAATATATACCTCATAGTCTCTTTCAGTCCTACAATATCTGTTCATACTGGGAAAGTTTCTCTTTATAAAATAATACCAGTTTATGCTAAACGCTTTGCTTGATAGAATTGGAAAATCATCATTTTTCAACTTCTAAAGAAATAATAGATCTAGACAATGATTACTTAAAATCTATTAGGTGAATGCCTGATGGGTCCTGCCTGAGGACCATCTGAACTCACTGATCAATCTTAACATCCTCAAAGGAGAGACATTGTGTGCCTCATGTAGGAAGTACAGAGCACCATTATCAATCATGTGTACCAAAAGACCAGAGATTTTTAACTAGAGGTTTAGCCATTGCAAATAGCTGTGTACTTGTTCATAAACGCCACTTGAATGATTGTAACCAATTTAACAAAAGAGATGGGAGACAAAGCCAGTGGAGATGAGCTTGAAATAAAGAACATAATTTCAGAAATTAAAACGGGAGAAAAATTAGACTTAAAATTACATCCGTATGAAAACAAGATTCCATTTTTAATACTTAGGTTGCATGAAACTTTTTAATTAAATTGAAATACAGAGTTTTATTAGAATTACCTGCCACCCTAAAATGAGGGTAGTTAACTGGGAATCATTAAATAAAATAAAAGCATTACAGCATACCCTCTTTTCAATAAACTGCTAAACAACCTTTGTGACTTACTCACAAATCAAAGAAAGGCATATGAGCCACTTTCCTGCATTAGAAAGCAATCTAAGTCTACCCCGCTTCCCTGAGTCAGCCTGAGAAACTAAAAAGTTGGTCTGTTTCGTCTTATAAACTCAAACTTTATACAAGGAACCCTAAACTTCCACGATGACAGGGAAATTCAACAGAGACACAGAGAAAAATGGTCTGGAGATGGGAAAGCGGTTCAGGCCACTAATTCTCAAAAAGGAAGTAATTCTCAAAGAGACAGGAGATTCTTTACAGAGCTGCACAATCTACCACCAATCACCTTCTTCCTCCTTTTCCTGAAGCCCCTCCCACCACTGTTAACATCTTCCTTTAGATTTTGTTGTTGCTCTGTTCTATGTAACCTTTTTCTTTTATTTTTATTAATTCCATTGCCATTCCCTCGTACCCAATTGATTATGGCAACAGCAATTCAGAGTGGAAGAAATAAGGATTGTTTGATTTACTAAAGGGGCTCAAATCATAAAATACAATGGTTTATATAAGATTCTGGAAAGAAAGTCTGGATATTCTCAAAGGGATTTTCTCTTCCACAAAGACCACTGTTCCAGAATCCATTTTACATTTTTACATTTAGACTCAGTTTTCCATCCAGTCATTAAAACTTGACCTTCCACCTATTTGTAAAGCTGGGTTAATGATGATACCAACTATGAGAGTTGTTCTGAGGATTAATTAAGTTAATTCTTGAAAAATATGAAAAGTGCTTGGAACAACACATAGTAAGCACTTGTTAATTGTTAGCTATTTACTATTGGTGTGGTCATTACTATTTTTATAAAAAATATTCTAAATGAAACAATATGCCCATAGATACCTGTCTGATATTCACCTCAGAAGCATCTGAGTTTAGAAAGGCTCGACAACTTAATCAACAAGTCAGGTAACTTGTTCACATGTTTTATCCTTTTAGTCCTTCCTATACAGGCTGGTATAGCTGGTAATATGACCCTTGGGTTTCCTTGGTCCAAAAATAAACACATTTGTGGCACACAAGTCAAGTATAGGACTGCCACTGAAATCTGTGATAAGGTTAAAAAATATAATATGCATAGCACTTGAATTAAACTTAAGGTGTTGCCATTTACTAGACATGTGACTTGAACCATGTTACTTGGTATCTCTGAGCTTGTTTCCCACACCAAGGTTTGTGAGAGCGTGCGAAGATTGTCCTGAATCTTGGGTGATCATTAAATGAGATACCCGGCACTCCTCACAATGCCTGCAACGTGTTCAGGGCTTATCTCTGAGAAGCTCCCTTGAGTGCTGTGCAGTCAGACACATCTGGATTCCAAGTCTGGCTCTTTTTCTTTTCCTGTCTGTGCGATTCAGGCAAATGCCCATCTTCTCTGACTTGCTACATTCTCACTTGTAAAAGCAGCCTACGGTTGTTGTGAAACTATGAATAATGCTTGCAAGGTAGAAAGCTCTGGATACATGACAGCTACTGATAAGTGTGTTACTTCCTAAGTTTCTGAGGTTGGGCTGACGGGGAAAAAAACAAGACAGATTCCTCCCACCCCAACAAACAAGCTATTCTCTCATCTAATTTAGAAATCAAGAATGTTTTCTTAAAAAAGTAAGCCATTTCTTTACTATATCACAGGTGAAGGGGGAAAAAAATCTGTTTTGTGGGTGGGAAAAAAAGTCTGATGTTACCAGGGAGGAAACACCCCTTCCGTATTTGTCTTCACAAACAGCATCATCAACAAATTCTGACGCCCACCTGCAGCTGCTGCAAGTTGGGGACCAAAAGATAAGAGCAGCTCATTTTCTGCCCTGTTCTTGCTCCTAAGGGGTGCAGTGCTTTCTTCAAGTCTCCCCGGAGCCCTGGTCTCTAGAGAGGTTCACAGCAGAACATTTTACTTGCACACGTGACCTCTGGAAAAGCAAGCTTCAATACTTAAAGAGATAGAACACAGGAGAGAGACAGCAAATAAAGGTGCAATTCACCCTCAACTCTAGAAAGATACTAGGAAAGCCGAATTAGTCAAAACAGAAGATTGTGCTATCTGTTATCAGTCTTCCAACTTTCCTTATGTTTGGCTAATGGTACTCTAAAAAAAGAAAACAGATTTTTAAAAATTAAAAAGAAGAAGTCTTCCATGGCAATTTGATTATTAGGTCACTCCAAGAGAGGCAATTTAAGAAACCAACAAATGCCGCTGGGGGAACTAAAATAATAACAAGCAACACTAATATAGCACCTTTCTTCTTCAAAGCACTTTACAAACATGAAGTAATTAGGCCAATTAAAACCTGAAAAAGTAGCCTATTTAGACACAATCTTCTGTTCACATACAGTGCATCTGCTAAAATGACTCTCGCCTTGTTTTCAATGCACAAGATGCTCACAGGGAAAAGAGAGACCCACGATACCCATAAATAACTAGCGGAGCTTCATTTCAGAAGGATCTGGGTCTAGAAGTATTGGGTTGTCGGAAAAGTCATGATGCATTTTTGCAACAAAAAACAGAGAAAAAATACGTCATGATTTTTCCAACAACTCAGTATTTACGGCATGTAAAATCAGAAGTAAATTTTCCCTGAGGCTCCTCCCACAAAGCCTGCATGGGTCAACACTTTTGGTGAGTGCCAGCAGGTTCTAGGTGGATAAGACCCGTAGACAACAAAGATGAATAGTCCAGGGAATGAATAGGCAGAAGATCTTTACAGTAAATTAATTCTCAAAGAGGAATCCCAGAATAACTGAGCAAAGGGGCACAGTATGTTGAATTGGAAAGTGTTCTAAATTGGGAGTAAGGAGATTTAAGTCCTTGCTCCAGTTTAACCGCTCATTCACTATGTGACTTGGGAAAATCATTTAATCTGCTTATTGTTTTGGTCTGTAAATGTGAAATGAGCTGTTTGATTAAATCCATGGTTTTCAAAGTATGTTCTGAAGGTACCGTGGGTCCCCAAAGAGGGTCGGTAAAAGCTTGGGGCTTCTCTTCTGATTCAGGAAGAGTCAAAACATTTTAATTCATTTTAGATGTTGGGCTTTTATGAGATGTGAACAGTTCCATGGCTAATTGAGTAAGAAAATTGCTGGGATGATGTCTAAATTCTCTTGCAACTCTGAAACTGTGATTTTATGAATGTGTCCAAACCCCATAAACATATACAATATATTTCAATGAAACCTTTAATTACATTAGCTTAACCTGCAAGGATAGGAGGAAAAGTGAAAGATAAAAACAATTCAGGTCTATGATCCCTCTGTTCAGCTTCTCTGCTTGCTCCCTAGCTGACTCATTCTGATCATCTGAGCTTCAAACTTTATGTTTGGAGACGGACAGGCAACTCCATTATATTCTCCAGTCTTGTCGTTTTCAGAGAGCCTTCTATAAAGCTGTTAGTCTCATTTCTCTGATTTGTGAGTTTGTATACTCTATGATCTAGAGCCCTGGAGGAGAAGAAGAATAAATGGAAGGCTAACCACCTCCTCCTCCCCCCAACAAAGAATGTCCCATTTCTGCTGGAATCTAGGCTGTTTTTAGGAACCCTCCCTGACAGTATACTCCAGGAAACTGGTCTGTTAGTAGAATACCTCTTTTCTCCCGACAAACTATATTATTAATCTTAATTGTGAATGAAGAAACAACCTTGAAAGGGTAAATGCACAAAGTCCCAAAGCTTAGGAGGCAAAGGCAATAGTGAAAAATCAGGCTTTCCGAGTTCAACTCCCAGACTTTCTCCATCCCTAAACTGCTTTCCAATTTAATTAGCATAAACCAATGTGCAGTCCAAATAAAGAAAGAT